ATTTCTCCAGGACTGGCTGTGATCATAGTCCATAGTGTAGCTTTCTCATTTCTGTCAGTTCTGTGAAGACAAAAGAATGAGAAAAAAACCTACTTTGATTGTCATAGTATCTGGTTTAAAACGATTTTGCAGTTATCTAGGAAAGAATGGCAATATGGAAAAGCATATTTTAAGAACTGGCTAGAATAATGTTGTCTAGAACGAACTGTCACCTAGGAACTCTATGACAAAGTGACAAGCAATCTGAGGAAAGGTAAAATAGGGTGATATGTGTTCTGGAGCTGAAAATAGACCCTGTAACTGTGTGGTCAGAATGTAAGGAGTTGCTGTAGTCTGAGATTTTAAAATAAAAATAAACATACTGGAAATGTTTCTTATTATTGCTCTGTTTTTGTTGAGGCACATTAGTAGCAGCAGGCTTACTTTTGGCACTGCACTTCTCGATCCCTCAATCTTCATTTGAGCAGCAGTATGCTGGATTCTGTGCTTCCTGCTGTTTTGGCCAATGAGTGTGTCTGGTGTAGTGTTGAGAGCTGAGATGCTATAGATTAGTAGAGCTGGCTGGCAAACAACAATTCCATTTTGTTAAAAATTTGGAAGTTTTGAAATTTCTTCTTGGTCCAATGTGGAATAAAACGTAGACATTTCAAAATATTGAGGAGAAAAATAAACAAGAATCCCCATGTCAGAGTAGCAATAGCCTGTAGATTAGAGGAGGATTTGGAACATAAGGTTTCCCGCATCCCAAGGGAGTACAATTACTCCTTTCTTATATCCTGGACTTTTCTGATGTATTCAGAAGTGCTGTACTCTTAGAAACCATTTCTGCTTTGAAAAATTACATTTTTTCTATTAGAAAATATTTTGTAAAAAAATTCCATGGGCATTGTATGCTACACTTAGAAATATAATGGCAATACCTGAAATCCGGGGTAGTGAAATCAAAGTGTATAAAGGAGGGAAGAGCCAAGGAGAGAACTCCAGGGAACATAATGTAGTAAATCCTATCTTATCTTATCTCTAACCTGACTGACTTCCTTCTGTCTGTAGGGGGATGGAAGGTGGAAGAATTCTGAGCTAAATGCAATACAGTATCAGGCCTTGTATTAGCAGCCACCAAGGCATGCTGATACTGTATTATATTAATTTTCTCACTAAGATGTTCATAATGTGTCATATATTATATGAATTCAAAATGCATAAAGGTGAATCATTTTTTGTCTACAAGGGAAATAAACACTCCCTGAATCTAATTAATTGATACTGTACTTGTCCAGTCCCACAAAAGCATTTCTTCATAGATTATTTAATTAATTATTTACTTTAAAAATCCTTGAACAATTATTCATTTTACAGCAACCCTCATTAAAATTTTCTACTTAGTCATGGACCAAAAAGTAAAATCCATTTGAGATGCACTGCAGCAAATTTAGATTGTCAAGAGAGGAGGTTATAATTTTCTCAGTTTTTTAAAAATCTTAATAAAATGTTAAATTTGGCCAAATATATTTGCAGTAATTGTTTTTGACCTAAGTAAATGTATCCACTTTACTTCAGCGCTCATCCATACTGAGCCGTTTATTGTATACTCCTCCATCATGAGCACCATTATCCTCCAATAAGGCTTGTGCTGTCCTGTCTATTGATATTCTTGCCCACTCTTCTTTTTTTTTTGCTTTTGAATACTGCATGTGAATTATGTGATAGAAATGCTGAGATAAAAGAGTGCTATGAAGTAGAAACAAAACCTGTGTTCTTTTCATGCATGGACATGTTGCTGAAGAGTGACATGAAAATACTCATGTGTGAAAAGCTATGAGTGAGACACTGAGCCAGCACATATAAAAAGTGCCGCCTTGGTGTATTATATTCATGGTCTTCTGAAGGACTGATTCTATACGTTCATCTTGTAAAAAACTCTTTTCGGAGATGCATGAATATTTATTGCAGCTCTAAATTCTGGACCATCCATCTAAATGTTATCATCTTTGGTTTGGAATGTCCCTATAGGTACAGCAGTGCATTTGTCATTTATGTATATAAGAAGATAGATGGCTCCAGTAATAGCAACACTGAACATTGGCAGAGTGCAGTGGAACTGGCCAAAGCGCATGAAACAAAACAAAACTAAATCAAACAAAAAAGAGAATCAGTCATATAGTGCTCATGGACACGTTTAAAGATGGACAAATGTAAAGCATATGGATCCATGTGGAATCAGATCATAATTTTTTGTTCTGTATGCATTTTTTGATAACCAGATGGGCAGAGTTTCATCATTTCTGTGTATACTAAATAACTAGGCAGACATAATGAGGAGGAACTATGCTGTCAGTTACCAAAGCCTTCAGGTCACTGAAGTGCCAGAGCTAATGGGTTGCTAATCTATTTTAGTGCTGAGTTCTGCTTAAAAAAATGAATAGCTAAGTTGAATCAATCTTAAAAAAGAAAATGAGTGTTATCTGGAAAAAAAAAACACATGTTGATCTGAAAGGAATTTGAAGTATAACTATGGGGGGGGGAAATCCATGGGTCCACTAGGCAGTTGGGGGCTTCAAGAGAGGAATTTTTATGACTGAGAAGCACAATTGGAATGTGGAGCTTTTTAATCTGATGATTTATATCCTGGTCTGTGGAGACCTAGAACATTGTCTATAGTAGCTGAAAATACTTAATATTTGGATCATTTTGCAAGAAAACTGTTTGTTTATAAAAACTGTTGTTATAATTTTGGGTTTTCCTTGACAATTATGTCCACAGTCCTGATGGAGTGTTGCAGAGAGAGCTGGTTGACTTATTTTTTTCTTCAAATATTGATGAAATTTTAAAATTAAAAAAAATTCAATGAAGAGGAGAAAAATTATATTAAAAATCAGCTCAAGGGTTGATCATAATGAAACCACTAGAAAAGCTGATTTTCATCTCTGAGATATTTCTATTGCTGCTCATTGGCATAATCTTTGAATTTCTTCTAGAAAAATCTGAATAATTAAAACACAGGTTATACTCACAAGTGGAAAAATTTACTATATTGTTCTACATAATATAAATCTTATCTGGCTACCAGTTAATTGTTTATCCTGAGTCTTAATGAATGCTGAAACACACACACACATACCTAAAACCTGTCCTATTTAACAAGGGTTAAAGTAATTGATGGAGTACATCCACTAACACAAACTCTAAAAACACAAGGAAATGGCCAGTGGAGGCAAAATCTGTACAGGCAGTCCCCGGGTTACATGGATCCGACTTATAAACGGGGTGAGGCAACCCCGCACTAGCTGCTTCCCCCCAGCAGACCAGGGAGACGCGAAGCTTGCACCCCCTCCCCCCCAGTAGACCAGGGAGACGCGGAGTGACGCGGAGGGGGGCAGACGAGTTTCCCTGGTGCTGGCCAGAGTGGGCCACTCCCACTAGTTCGAATTAAGGGTCTACACAGCCCTTAATTCGAACTAGTAAATTTGAACTAGGCTTAATCCTCGTGGAATGAGGATTACCTAGTTCGAACTAAGCGCTCCGTTAGTTCGAATTAAATTCAAACTAACGGAGCGCTAGTGTAGCGCCTATGAAAGTTAGTTCGAACTAACGTCTGTTAGTTCGAACTAACTTTGTAGTGTAGACATACCCTCAGAGAATGTGACAGTAACCCAAGTTCCAGCACCTTTGATAGAGTGATGCTGTGGCTGAGATATGGCAGTGGTGGGCAACCTGCAGTCCGTAGGATTTATGTGGCTAATTGAGATTCTATGTGTGGCCCACAAGATGTTTTGTTTACCATTGTCCACATGCAGGATTGCCAGATTGTGCTGGTTTCCAGCCACATAGTTGTTGGTTTTTTTATTACTGGTAGTAAGAAAGTGACATGCAAGTGAAGCAAGGGCATGTGAAATGAGGTACGTGCTGACCATGACACAACATTGACCATGGCAGCCGTGCGCTTCCTCTGTATCAAATGAAAGTGCTTCTACAGTTCACTCAGCACACCCCGCAAATTCTAGGTATGCAAGCACAGCTAGCAAAATGACCCTATTCTCTCTCGGTTACAACAATCTTGTGGCCCAGTTAGATGAAGAGGGGCTACCCATGCGACCCAGTCACCAGCTTAGCTTCCCATTGCTGAAATACAGTGTGTGGAATAATAGGAATGTATACAGTGTGTGGAATAACAGGTAGATTACATACAATTGATTTTGCCATAAATGGGCATTTCCTTGTTTATTTTATTTTATGTAAGTAGATTCTGTAACCTTAAGTCATAGTTTTAAAAGAATAGGTTGTTTGTTTGATCTTACATACACACTTATAGCAGTATATGATATTTTGTCTCTAAGGGTATGTCTACACTACCCCGCTAGTTCGAACTAGCATTTCTATTCTAATGTCCAGTTATTTTCTTGCACCATTCATGTATCAGGATGTGAAAGACTTGCTTGATGTATGCTATAACGTGCCTCTGAGCATATCCATTAGGATACTTTCTAATTACATATTGGAAAAGTATGTATTATAGGATGGATAATATGTTGGGGTATGTCTACACTACCCTCCTAGTTCGAACTAGGAGGGTAGCGTAGACATACCCCAACATATTATCCATCCTATAATACATACTTTTCCAATATGTAATTAGAAAGTATCCTAATGGATATGCTCAGAGGCACGTTATAGCATAGATCAAGCAAGTCTTTCACATCCTGATACATGAATGGTGCAAGAAAATAACTGGACATTAGAATAGAAATGTTTCTGAGACTTCAGGTGAACTAGGCATGTCTGCTACCATGAACTCTGTGTGGGTGTGGTTGTGTGTGTACGTTAATGCCTCTGTACCACTGTACTGTAATAATAAGAACTAATGGTACAGATGGTATCAATGAATGCAATTTCATATTGTACATATTTAAATCATGAGGCATAAGGACATAGTAAGAAACTAGAAATGAAGGAAAAGGGAAAGGTCTTAGCTTCAGTTCTCAAGATTTCTTGTTTCCTAATAGGTAATCCTTTGGAGACTTGTTTCAAGATGTAGAACTCTGCTCCCTAGACTATCAGCATATTTCCTGATTGAAGCAGTGTAATGAAAATAAAATTCGCTTTGCCTTACGGTAAGATCAAAAAATACTTTGGATTCTACTGAATTACGTGGGTTAATGCTAAAAGATGTAAAATATGTTGGATGTGTATATATATACCATTGCAGTGATCATCACATAGGTAAAAAAAATCAAACTAGGCTGAGCTGCTTTAAACCTTTTACTGCAAGTCATTTGCTCCTGCAATCATTAATTAACATTTATCTGGATGATGTAAAAAAGAACAAAGTAGACAATAATGCAAGATTTTAGAAATATTTTCTTTTATTTTCATATTGATATTTTTGCCTTTCAAACACTGTGGCAGTATGCTACTACTAATTTGAAACATGCTGCATCTTGATGTCAAACTGCATGATAAACATCTTGTCTAATGAGTTGTTCAGAAATGAAAATGAAATACTTTTATCTAAGATATCTTTGCTCAAGGGGCCCATTTTTTACAAGGCATTTTAGAGACAGTGTCTGTGGCAGAATGTCAAAGCTATATGGGGGGGGGGGCATGTCGTAACTTAAGGAGGTGTGGAAGAATCCCAACAGTTGTTCAAAAAATCCCAGTGTATGTGGTGATAGTTCTAGTGCACCCCAGAAATGTTTAAACCTTGTCTGCAAAGAGCAAGTAGCACAAGGATGTTTCTGAACTCCTGCCAGGGTCAGTTATGTGAACTAGAATGGTGGTGTTCTCCATTGCAGACGGCTCTTTGCTAAAGCTACCTGCAGGCTTCACCCTAGTACTGTCTCACAATGTGATTGTAATACAGTTCGTAGCACTTTTGAACATGGGCACAATTGTGTTACAGCTTAGGGAGTATCCCTGTTTCCAAGTTGTTTCTAGCAAGTCTTTTTTTCCTCTCTTGTTTGTTTGTTTTTTTTTTTGCGGCGGGGGGGGGGGGGGGGGAGAATGAGAAGTGGGCAGGACCTCTTAAAATAAATCATTCTGCTTAACTGTTCCATGTAGCCATAGTATCTGAGTCTACAGTGAGGCTGTGGACATGTTGCTCCATATTTTTCAGGAAACACATAGTGCAACCTGACAGCAAGTCTGAAAAATCAAATTGGTAATGTTTAGTAATAGGCGCCTATATAAGAAAAAGCTTTGGCTATGGGGACCTACCCTAAAAAATAGGGGGTCTGGTCTTCCTAGAAATACAGGGCCAAGTTCAGAGGCAGTATAATAAGATAATAGGAAAAGAGTAACTTGCTGAAAGTGAATGTAAGTTGTAGTAATTTCTTGTGTTTTGAGGGGCAAAAGAGGTGTGATGTATTGAAAACTGTAAGCTGTCTCATTAAATTTCAGGTGTAGGATTCCTGATCCTGCTTGCAGGCTATAGAACTCTTTAGGGAAGTGAGTGATTTGGGTCTAGCAACAGCTGTCAGCCTTCAGTGAGTCAGGATTAGACTAATGTGGAGTGAGTTGTCCCTTTTTTCAGCAGTGACCTGCTCTTGTGTGTGTCTCTTCTGTATCTTGTTTATTGCTCTGAATTCTAAGACACAAAGTAGCACTATGCTGCAATCTTCCTGCAGGAATATAAGTTTTCGATGTATATGCATGAATATAATGAATGGCAGCATTGTAACAGGGGAGTATTTAATAAATAGAGTAAAATTGGAGGTTGCTTAATCTTACAAACTCTTATTTTTTTCTTCTGTTACAATCTTTGTTAGTGCCCCACCAGCAAGTGTGCACTAACTTAAGCTATTACAATGACTTAATGACATTTAATTCTCACTATTATTTCTTAAAATGGACCATATTTTCATTTGATGCCATGTTCTTACAGTAAAAGAGCTAAATAAAAACAGACTCAGTCACTGAAGCCAGTGGGAGCAGGAAGTGCTCATTATCATATCAGGTAGGCTGATGAGGTATCCCAATGTGGATATCAGTGCTTCTCTTCAGGCACTCATGTTTGAAATTTTATTAAAAATAAATGTTTTCCCCCAATTGAATCGGTTATAGGAGTCCCTCATACCTAAGAGAGAGTGCCAGAAATAAGAGTGAAATGCAGTTTTGCTTCAAAAGAAAAAAAGAGGCCCACAAAACATTAAAAATAATATGAAATAGCAAATTATTTGACAACTTAATTCCTTAGCAAAACATCTGAAGTTTTCTATGGTGGCCTATGAAAAAATATCACCTTGATGGTACTGGTGATAGTGGAGGTAGGTTTCCCTATCAGTATTGCCTCTATCTGTGAAAAATCTTTGATGAATCAAACGTTTGGGCTCAAGTAAATTCTTGCTGTAGTAAGTATTCTTAAGTACTCTAATGTTTTTAAAGGATTATTCACAAACTGTATTATGTATTATGGAGGGAAAAGAGAAAAATAACACAGTAAAATATCTTAGATTTGATGGTGTCCTGGAGTTGTATCTGATGCAAGAAGAGAAGTTTGTCTATTACTAAGAATGTTCAGAGCTACAATAGTAAAGTAGTTTGGGAGGGGGTATAAACTCTCACTCTGCAGAACATATGCAAATTTCTAACTATCAGGGACTGGGAGGAAACTTTCTGAGAGTAGTCTAGCCAATAATCACTTATTATTGAATTTTATGATAAATATCTCTTAAGTCCACCTAACACTTCTTCACATTTATTGTGGCACAAAGTCACACTCCCTTTCCATGAGCCTTCTAGCTAACAATTGCTGGCTATTGAATTTCTGATGCTAGTCACTGTCAGAGATAGGATATTGGAATAGATGGATCTGACATTTTTTTGCGTTCTGTTAAATCATCTGGTTCTTCTTTCTATTATCAATATTATTTTTTTCTGACATTGCTGAGGAACAGCTAAGGGAAACCAGGAATAAATCATGAGGAGGTGGGGAGAAGATGGAGAAAATGTATGACTATAACTAACTCCAAAAGGAAGTTATTAAGCAGAAGTTTGAAGTTCATTTACATCTGTGTGGATGTGTCTTAAATAAAATAATTTACACAAACCCAAAAGGATGCCATTTGACTGGTAACCTGATCTTTGTGGTAAAATGTCAAGCTTTAAAAATCTTGTCTAAGACCCCTAAGACATGAGAATGTATCCGAAACGGATGCACCTTGCATTGTGATTTGAACTACAATGTTAATTAAAACTATTTTTGCCCTGAATAAGATACTTGAGATAATTAAATACATTGTATCTGATGATTATGAAGTGCTACTATTCAATGGTGTGCCTGTGTACCTATATAAATGCAGAGAGAAGCTAGATGAGATGGTATCCATCTTAAGTTTGACTTGAGAAATAAAAATGTAACTTGTCCCTTAGCATTCTGAAGAGTGGTGGAAAATATTTGGCACAATTAAATCATAATGCAAATGAAACCACTGTTTTTTGCAGATTCCAAAGAATATGTCAAGTCAATCTTCCTCCTTTAACATTGGTCACAAATCTCTAAGATCCTTGCAGCTCAAATTCTGCTCATGACTAGCTTCAGTAGTTTCAAAAGCACTTTGCCATTCCATGCTGCCATTACCAAATTAGCTTTTTCCCTCCATAGCTCTTTTTTCTGCCTTCTAGATAAATTAGACAAATTTCATAGTTTTGAGGGTATTTCAGGCTGAAACTGCATAATAAAATTAATTGCAGAACCCTCTGGATACCTGTTACAGTCTGAAGAGAACAGCCTATGAAATTGGCATTATTAAAATAAAGCTTTGCAAGTAGCAGGAGCCTTGACTATACCACAGTTGCCAGTTAAATAGAGACAGTATGTTATTAATGGAATGTCTGTCAACAGTTCTATATCGTTATCTGAGCTGCTTGTCATGTAGTCTCTGCTCTGCATTATGTCAAGTGCTCATCTAGCTTCATTACATGTCTCTATAGGTCCAGATGAAATAACTCAATTGAACTCTGAAACGACAAGTCAAGAGCCTTGAAGAAAACCATTGAGTCTTCTAAATTTTGTTTTCCCCCATAGATTCCAAGGTCAGAAGGGAACATTGTGATCCTTTAGTCTGACCTCCTTTATAACCCCGGTCACATGGAACATCCCAAAGATAACGTACCCCCCAAAAGAACTCCTGGAACATATCTTTTAGAAAAAATCCAGTATTGATTTAAAAATTGTCAGCAATGGAGAATCCACCATGACCCTGGATAAAATGTTCCAGTAATTAATTATTCCTTTGTATACTAATTTCTTGTTTGAATTTATCTAGTTTCAATTTCAGACAATGGCTAATGTGATACTTTTCTCTTCTAGACTAGTGGTTCCCAATCTGTGGTCCGTGGACCCCTGGTGGTCTGTGATGGTACTGCAGGGGGTCCCTGGAAAGTTTAAAAATAAGTCTCAAGCCTAGTGTAGTGGGCCTGATCTTTTCTTTTCTTTTCTCCTTGCAAGGGGTGTGGGGGTGGGGTGTGAAATTTTAATAGATTGAAAAGGGTCCATATGCTCAAAAAGTTTGGGAACCTCTGTACTAGACTGAAGAGCCCATCATTAGGTATTTATTTCTTGCATAAACTTAAACAACAAATAGTCCTGCAGCACCTTTAAAGAGAAGTTTGAACAAAGACCTTAACTGGATTACCCACTACATTCCACATCCTAATGACATAAAAAAGCCAAACGCCAGGTACTTAAGAGTATTTAGAACCTACTCTGTCATCTTCATTTATCATGGACTCTCTAATTGACTATTCTTTTCCCATTTTTCTCCTTTCCTTTCCCTCCCCTCTCCCTCTTTCTCTGCTATTTATTTGGAATCTGGACCCCTTAAACTCCATTCATCTGAAGAAGTGGGTTGTGCCCATAAAAGCTCATGATGCCATCTACATTTTTTGTAAGGCGCTGCAGGACTTTTTTTTTTTTTCAGTTACAGAGTAACACAGCTACCCCTTTGAAACTTATTCATTGTATAGGCATTTATAAACTTGATCAAGTCACCCTTAACTTTTTCTTTGTTAAGCTAAATAAGCAATGCATAAGTTTAGCAAGCTAAAACTTCTATTTTAATTTTTACGTATATTATATGTATATAGAAGGAGGAGGAAGATATGAGATGTTGAC